ATCCGAAGAAGTGGGCTGTAGTCCACGAAAGCTTATGCTCTAATAAATTTGTTAGTCTCTAAGGTGCCACAAGTCCTCCTGTTCTTCTTTTTGTGATTAGACTGGGGCGGTGTTACAGCAGTTGAACAGCTTTATCCTCTCAGTAACCCTGCAGCAAGCGCCCCCCAGAGGGAGATCTGGCTAATCTCACCTGTAACTCCGCCTCTCGCACAGCCGCTGCTCCAGTCCAGGATCCCACAGCCGTCTGAGGCCAGAGAACGGGGCACCCAAGTCCTAGGTAGTAAAGTTAAACGCAGCCCATAAAGATGCTGCAAGGCTCCCCATTTACCCCCAGACAAAAGGGCCCTTGGTTTGGCTTTGCATTGCGGATCCCAATCAGTGCCTTTGATCTGCAGGGTTAAAAGGAAGTTGGCTGTTAATATTTTTCAGCAGCGGCGGCGCCGACGTCCCGGAGAGAGCTATGGGCTATTACATGACCATCTGCATAAAATATTGGAATCGTAGCCATGAAAATGAGCAGCGCTTTCATTCCTGTACGCTCTGGAGAATGACCATGCAGCTTGGAGACGAGCATAAAGGAAGGACCCAGTCCTGCCCTCATTCAAAGACATGGCGGAACTCCTATTAACTTCAATGGGAGCAGGATCAAGCCCCAAGAATGATTCTGAGTGTAAAGATAAGTCAATTGATGGAAAATATCTTGTGTAGCGTCATAAAAGTCACCAGTTAAATATTCAAAACAGGTTGCATTTGAATGTTGCCAACTGGTACACGCACAAAAAGAGCCAAACATCTGCCAAATAATAAAAATAGAACCAAGGTGACTTTTAATAAATAAGACAGTATAAGCAACAAGTTCAGCAGGTGGCTGTTAACTGTTGTAATATTCATTATACCTGGAAGTCATCCAAATTGTAAATAGGATAAGTAAGCACACTTCCTGTAGGATGTGCATGAAACCTGTCAATTTATTTAATATTATACCTTTGTTCCAACTGACTAGTTTGTGCCCCTTTGCACACTCTACATTTAACACACAATCTTTTGGCTGAAACAGTTGCTCTAATAGATTTAAACTGCATTTATAACTGTAACTGGTGTTTAAATTTGTAAACAAAACAAACCAGATACATCAGGGGATGCTAAAAGTCTGACTCAGCTGTCATTTTTAATTCCATATAATATACAATAGGTTGTGTGCTCTCTGACAACTTACCATTGTAATTATGATTTGACAATGGGCAGATTACAAAGAAAAAGGCTTGCATATAAAACACCTGCAGTGTCTGGAGAATGGAAATATGGGGCCAGGGATGAAATAGCTTCATGTCTTAACTTGCCCCATTTCTGATGCACAATGAAGGTGAATCACTCAAAAGGAGAGAGAGAGGGGGAGAGAGATTTAAAATGAAAAGTAATGCCAGAAAAAAATACAACACTTTTCTTTTTAATTTTCAGGTGAATTTAATCCTAGTGAAAGAAGGTGTCCTACTGAGACTTTCAAAAAAACTAATTATCCCCATGACAGGTACACATTACACAGTAACAGTCTAGCCTTTCCCAGCCCTCACTTCCAGAGGCCACCTCTGGTCCACATGAATTAATACAACTTAATGAAGGGACCCAATTTAAATACTATAATTTGTAGCTCGGTTGGCACCTCATATTTTTATCTATACTAGCCTCCACCTCCCCTTAAAATTTCCCAACACTCATGCTCTGAACAGGTTTATGTAATACCAGGGTTAAATGTTGGCACTAGAACTGGTTGAAAAATAAGTATGTTTTGTGAAAAATGTTAGAGAGACAAGATGGGTGAGGTAATAGCTTTTATTGGGCCACCTTCTGTTGGTGAGAGAGAAGGAACAGTTGGTACAATACAAGATCCATCACTCATCCACCTAGGCTCTCTTAACATCCTGGGACCAACATGACTGCAACAACACTTCATACAACAGTGAAAAATGACATTTTCTGATTTTTTGATTGAAAAATCTCTTAATTTTGTTTTTGTTTTTTGCTTTTCCCCACTGAAAAGGGGGATGGAAAGAAAAAAAGAGGATGCTGAGACCTGAAATGTGAGGGAGGAAGGGGGGAAAGGAGGGAAAAAGAGGGAGGGGAGCTGGAAACCAAAAATTTACAGATGAGGGTGTTTTTTCTTTTAAAGAATAGTTATGTGAATGTATTTGGTTTGTGAAAAAGGGCATTTCTCATTGAACTGGGTTTCAAAGAATTTTGGCCAGCTATAGCTGGAATCCATTCTCACAATTGCTGTCACAAGTTGAGAAATTTAGGTCTGGGGAAAACTAATGTTGACACATGCTAAAGCCCTGTCTATAACAGAAATTTTTATAATCATCTTTAGTATGTATGTAATAGGGGTGCCATTGTTACCTATGTTTGAAGCTGTAATGTAGTCCGGGTTTAAGCATTTTAGTACTGTTGCGGTTAGCCTTTCTTGGAGGCAGATTCAGTCTATCTAGTTTTAAATATGGGTTGAGTGGAGATTATGGAAGATGGCAAATGATGCTTACATAGATCCCTACCTAAGCTAGAACACAGGCCATTGTTTGCCCTAAAGGTTTTGTGGAAAACCTCCCACTTATTTTTTTTTCTTTTTTTGGTCATTTTCACAATAATTTACATTTGCCATTATGCACATCGTGTATCCATTTAATCAAGAAAAATGCTAATTAATTCAACCCTCAGTAGAATAATTGCTATAAAAGTGCCCTTGCTACAGTCTGGTATCCACTTCTCTCCTACATTGTGTTTGATACACCTAGCCAAGCAAGTTTTGTGTTCCCATCTTTGTTGTAGCACTGGTAAATTTTAAAGTGAGAGATGGGATAAATATTATCCAGGCTGTAAAAAGATGGGGACTCCAAGGCATAGAAAGATTTGAGGGCTAGATTGCAGCACTTGCCCACAGAAGCCACAATCAAAATCTGGCCCCAGTGCCCTAGATGGTCTAAAAACATGTACAAAGACACAGTTCCTGCTCCAGTGAGATTACAGTTTAAGTAGATAAGTGACCTAGGGATAATGATACAATCAAATAGAGAAAGCATTTTAAATTTCAAATATATATGTAAATTATGTATATAGCATATTAAATAGATAAAGTATCATCTAGCCAGCACTGATTGGTACAATTGACATAGGCAATTTAAGGTTTAGAGTAGCAGCCGTGTTAGTCTGTATCCGCAAAAAGAACAGGAGTACTTGTGGTACCTTAGAGACTAAAAGAAGAACAGGAGGACTTGTGGCACCTTAGAGACTAACAAATTTATTAGAGCATAAGCTTTCGTGGGCTACAGCCCACTTCTTCGGATGCATAGGAAGAAGAAGTGGGCTGTAG